AAGCAGAACAGTGTGTGCAAAACACGCACCATCTAGTGGAAACCAAGCCACAGGAATGCGTGGATAGGGAAGGAATGACCAGACTCTGAGACCCAGGAGGAGCCTGGCCACCAGTTGGGAGGATAACTTTCACACCTGTGGACCCTAACTCTGTGCCTGGTAGGTGATGCTCAAAACCAAACCAAAACCAAAAGAGTGGAACCTAAAAAGAGGTGCCTGATCCCTTTGCAGCACTGAGGCCCCTGGCTGAATGCCACCCACAGGGAGACCCCCTCCACGGAATGCCTGCTCCAGATACAGCCCGGTGCCTCAGACCTGGGTGCAATTTGCTGCCTGAATCCAAGGCCAACTCAAGGAGGCGGGAAGGAGCCTCAGGAAACCAGGGAAGCCAGGAGAGAAAAGGCCAGGACACGCCCCTTCCCAGGACACTCCTTCCACGCACCCGCCCCTCTTGCCTGGGCCTCAGCCACTCCGGTCGCGCAGCATCCCAACCTGCGAAGCCAACGGCAGGTGGGATTCTGGCTAAGCTCAGATATGCCCAGCTTGGCACAGCCAAGGCAAGTGCCTGGCAGCCCTGTGTCCCCCCATGGACTGGTGGTAAATGTCCCAAGCTCCACGTGCTCGCAGCCAGACCCCTGCACCCCGCACAGTCCCCTCACCTCGGGGCCCCGTCTGGCAGCAGACGGGGCCCTGGTCCAGAGCCAGGTGCACCGTCCCGCAGATACACATGGCTCGACTGTGAGCGCGCGGGGACCTCCGGGAACGCGCAGGACGGACTAGACGACCTACACAGGTCCAGGGTCTTTGGTGCTCGATCCTCCGCAGCCAAACCGGCTCTGGCCGGTCCGAAGACCCCGCCCCCGCAGAGAAAGTCTCCGCCCCAGCGTCCCACAAGCCCTGGCTGGGGTTTTCAGCTCCCAGGACTGGGGAGCAGGAGTCCGAGACTCAAGGAGCCTTAATTCGATTCAGGGTGGGGCGGGCCAAGGGTAGGCCGGGAAACAGGCTCAGGACGTCAGGAGGCGCGGGGACACCCCGCCCCGCCCACATGGATCCTGGCGCACTCTCCCCCCACCGCTGCCCCCGCTTCCTCCGCTGACAGCACAGGGGTCACCAAGTCGCTGTATGGGTCTCACTAACCCCACAATAGGCACTATATTGCAGAGGACATCTGGTTACAGTCAGCGACCCTGCCTGGTGTATCATTACCCCATTTCACATTGAAGACACCGGAGGCTTAGAGAGGGGACCGCTGGTCTGGAGCCTCAGCCCAGCAGGGGCAGCGCTGGGACTCGAACCCACATCCTCTCAGCCCCTCAGCCCAGGGCTGCCCCTAGATGCAAAGCAGGGTATCTGGCCCTGGCCCAGCCTCCTGCAGGATGCCCAAGGGCTCAACTCCACCCAGGCCTGGCCTCCAAGGAACCTCCAGGATAGGAAAGGAACCGAGATTAGAGTTTCCCCAGGAAACAACTATGGCGCCCACCACCTTCCAGCCCAGGGGCTGCCACTCCCCACCCAGCAGGCGTAGCATCAGTAGAGCACCCCACTAACGCCTGCAGAGCTGAGGTCTCCCTCCAGGCTGAGGTCTAATTTCGGCTCCGGCCCCTCCTTGGCTGGGTGAGCTAGAAGTCAGGGGCCCACTCTGGGCCTTAGTTTCCTCATCTGTAAAATGGGCACCTGGAGGAGCAAGTCAAAGTGTTTACCATGGCCCTGGCACTGCGGTTTCCGGGAGGAGAGATCACAGTGCCCTCTCTGGCTGCCAGGGACAAACAGGAAGCAGATGAAAATAACTCGGCAGGAAGCTGGGCTGTCAGCGGACGCGTGCAGGAAAAAACGGAACTGCCATCCCACAGGCCACTCACTCCCACAGTTTACGTGCCAGCCCTGCCCCTTGTCCCTCTTGAATCTCTCTCCATTGAGACTTAAGCCCACCTCCAGTCCGTTTCAGTCCAACACACAGATCTCACCTCGTTCCACCTCTGCTCTAACACCTTCTATGGCTCCTCACCGCCCTCAGGTTAATGTCCAGGGTCCTTCTGCTTGCCAGTCTCAGTGCCTTCAGCCTCACACACTTCATACACCCCAACCTTGTTCCCACAAATTCATATCTGTTTCATGTTTCTGAGTCTGTGCATGTGACATTCACTCTGCCTCAATGCCATTCCTTCCTAGTTGCCACCAAACTCCTATATATCCCTCAGAACCCTTCTGCAATGGGTTTTTCCAAGAAGCCCTCCCTACAACCTCCTTCTAGCCTCCCCAAGTCCCTTCCTCTATCCTGCCTTGACCCTACAGGGTTTGGGGTATCTGTGTCTGGCCCTGCCTTCCACCCAGGCCTTGGTGTCCTGGCGGTCCTCACCATCATGCAGAACACACTCCTTCAGCTTCTCGAGGCCCTCGGCAAAGCGGGCCACGTCAGCCAGCAGGTGGGAGATGTCCTCCACGGAGTCGGGGCCAGGCCCCTGGATGGGTACCTCAGCCGGGCTGGCTGCTGCCAGTGGGCTGCGGTGGCTGCGGCCTAGCGTCCAGGTGCTGGCTCCAGACAGCGGGAAGCCAGCAGCACTGGCGTGGCGGCTCAGGCTGGTGGGCCTCTTGAGTGTGCCAGTGGCCTTGGCATTTGAGGCAACAGTTGGTGGTTCCAGGCTGGGTCCGAGGGACACTGCATCAGCCCCATCTCTCCTGGGCAGCTCCTGGTTGGGGAGGAGAGGGGAGGGGGCGCTGGTAGAGTAGGTTTGCCACCTAGCCCTGCCTCAGCTTCCGCAGAAGTGAAGTGGGGCTCGGGAGGGTCTTCAGCCTGACCCTGCAGGGGTCAAAGGCCACAGGTCAGTGGGCTGAGATTTGGGGTCGTGCCCCTCCCACACCTGTTACCCAACATCCTCTTCCCCAGAGCTTTCACAAACAACGGTCTGCCCAAACCACAGCCAGGGGCGGGGCCTGCAAGGGTGCGGGGGAGGGGCACCTCACTTCCTGGGGGGGTAGGGAGGGCCAGGAGAGGGTCCTCAACCTCAGGCTCCTCTCAGGCTACGCCACTGCAGGCAACCCTACTTGCTGGTAGAGACACCGCCTGGATTCCCGAGGCCCCTGAGTCCCGTGGACTCCCCCAGGCCTTGCAGATGCCCCCCGACTGTGGAGACACCCCCAGGCCTTACACCCAGAGATCTTCTTCCTCACTCTTCTCCCACTAAACCGTCCACCTAGTGGTCCTCACATCTCACAGTGCCTGGAGGCCCCAGATTCCCTGAGCCCCCACCATACAGAGTTGCAGACCCAGGGCGCCTACACCCTGGCATCCGCCCCACCCACTCCCTGGACCCCACAGCTGGCCCTGGAAGGGATCGGAGGGTGGAGTGGCCATCCCGAAGGGCTCTGACCGTGAGCTGAACGCTGGGGGCCCAGCCTGTCCTGTGTGGCCCCTGAAGCCCGGCCCGGCAGGGGCTGTAGCTGGTTCGAGCCCTCCGCCGCTGCCCCAGCATGGCCCTGCCCAGCCCCTGCCCGGCCAGGCCCCCGAGCATAGGGTACCCCTCTGTCTCCCTGCTGCCCGGGTGTGGCTCCAAGGTCCCCACCCGCTCCGAGCAGAGTCTCACTCACCCCTGAGGGCTGCGGGCAGGGGCTTCCCGCCCGGTTCTTTTTCGAGATGGAAGGGGTTTTCATGAGCTCCCGCTTCTTCCTGGAGAACATGGTGGGGCCGGGCCAAGTGGCCCTAGTGGCCCGAGGTGGGCCGGGCTGGGGGGTCTCAGCGCTGCAGCTCCTGGTGTAGGTGGCCACTGGACCACATTGCCGCGAGCCACCCCCTCCCCAGCTGTCAGGCCCACGTGACAGGCCCAGCCCTCATTGGCGGTGCTTCCCCCCAACAGGAAAAGGCCTCCGGAGGCGGTGACGCAGACCCGCCCCTGACCCTCCCCAGCATCGGCCTCAGCCTGCCCCTCTGCAGAGTGGGCTCGAAGGTGGGGTCCCAGGCCCCGCCCCCTCGCTTCCGGTTTCAGGAGCTCTGCGCGTGCGCGAGCTGGACAAGGTGCCCCAGCCTGGCACTGGCGCCCCCGGGCAGGCACTGGGCAGCACTGCGGCCGACTGCAGAGACGCTGACCCGCACTCGGACAACCCAGATGCAACCAGAAGGACACAGACTTCCAGAGACAGGCTCAGACACGTGCTCAGAAGCCCCCGAGCTCCGTGGAGGAAATGGATGCCCCACACATAGATGTCCACCCTCTAGGCCCCGTCCTTTCCTGGGTGTGCCCGCCCTCCTCTGGTGACACCCCCTGCAGACCTCAGGGCCTGGGCAGCAAGGGGCACAGTGGGTCACCTCCCCTCTGCCTCACACCTGCACTGGTCTTAGCCCACCTCCCCACACCTCCCCAATTCCATATTCCAGGGACACACATCGACCATGACCACTGGACAGCTAGCCAGCAGCCGGGCTGATAACCACCTGAGGCCACCACGCCACCTCCTCCCCTCCCTGGCAGGGCCCCCAGAGCTGGGGCAATGTGCACTGCGTCCAGCTCTCCACCTCCTTCTGTCCTCCACGCACCGCCCCCCACCCATGACCATCTCTTCTCTTCAGCGCCCCTAATCTGAGCCATCTCCTCTCCCCACGTCTTCCTCCCTGCCCCTTCCGGAGTCTAGCCCCCATCTCCAAACCCCGGCCCGTCCAACCTCCCCAGCACTGGCCCACACTGACCTCAGTGGGCAGAGGAGGATCTCCGGGGCACAGGGCATGCAGGCCACAGCCCCTCACGACAAATCCAGTCCTCCAGGCCCAGGTCCATCCACAAACCCAGTGCAGAAGTCCCTTAAAGATCCTTTGCCCACCACTCATTTCTCTGGAGGCCAGGATCAGGGGATGAGGGCTAGCTGGTGGGCTTCTGATCTGGTCAGGAGGCCCGAGGTCCGAGCCACTGCTGCTGGGCTCCTCCAGCTGCCCGAGACATTCCTGAGCCCTGACCTCATGCCCACTTTATGACCAGCGGCTCACAGGTCCCGCCCTCAGGTGCCAGAACCACGTGGGCATGTAGGGGCCCCGGGACCAGTGTCCAGGCTCTTATGAAGGCCACCCGTGCACGTGAGACCCCTGTTCCCCAGCCCAGCACAGAGGCCTTGACAGCTGGGAGTCCAGTTGGCTGTAGCTGGGGCCTCCCCTGCATCCCACAAAGGGCATCTGTGTTCACAAGCCCACACCTGCACACACGTGGGTGCCAGGCCTGGGATCCAGACAAGTGCACACAGCCAGCTTTGGAGAAGCACGCAGCCTGGCGCACGGACACACGTGCACACTGCTTTACACCACGACTTCTCTTTATTTCCTCCTGAGCAGCGACCCTTCTGGGAGTCTGGGTCCATGCTCCAGGCCCTCTGCCCTGCCTCTGTCACTCCCAGGGCCTCCCACCAGCTCCACAGAGGAGATAGGCTCAGAGCACCGTCACGGCCATGCTGGGGTCATCGAGGGACCGGGTGATGAGCTTGGGGCGCTGCCAGCCTGGCACAGGGTCCTCTTCTGCCTCCTGTTCCTCCTCCTCCTCCTTCCCCTGATCCTTGGAGAAGTACAGGAATACCTAGTGGTGGGTGGCCCAAGAAAACAGGAGGGGAAGTCAGCTTGAGGGCCCCCAGCCCCACCCTTACCCCCAGCCCAGTCCTGGCGCTGCAGTCACCTCCTCTAGCGTGGTCTGGCTTACAGAGAAGTCCTCCACGCCATGCTCCGCCCCGTGAGCCGCCAGCTCTCCAAAGACGCGCGCCAGGGCGCAGCGCCCTCCCGGCGGCAGCTGGAAGCGCAGGCGGCCGCCGTGTGCCTCCCGCAGCTCGGCCTCCGGGAACGCCGCTGCCACGAAGGCTGCCGCTGACTCAGACCGCGACAAGGGCACCCGCAGGGTCAGCGTGTGGCCAGCCCCGAATCTGGGGTGGGGTGGGGTGGGCGGGGCCAGAGCTACAAGGCCCGCCCACAGCCCACTCTTCCCTACAACCAGCCCACAGCACCCTCCTGCTTTCCTCTGGCCCCATCCCTATCCCCAGCTCCTCTAGACCCCTATCCAACACACGTGACCCCAACCCCTGCTTGTCCTTGCCCCACCCGCATGCTCGTTTCTTGTCTAACTTTGGTTTCCCCTAGGCCCCGCCCACATAAGGCCGCGCCCCGCCCACTCGCCAGGCCACGCCCACCCGCCAGACCCTCTTTGGCCTCTGCCCTGGCCTCTTGCACCCTCACCCATCAGACCTCATCCCCATCTTGGTCCAGTCTCGCCCTCTCAGTCATCTCTCCCGGACAGCCCATAATTTTTTGCCTCTTCCCCACAGAGCCAAGATGGCCCCGCGTGGTCTCTCCTCCGGCTCCTCCTACAAGCCCCACGCTTACCTGCCCCAAGCCCGGTCCTGGAGGGCTGCCCCCGCTCACCTGCCCTTGAGGTGCTGCGTGCTGCCCAGGCAGCGGAACCTCCCGTTCACCATGACGGCGAGGCGCGTGCAGAGGGCCTCACACTCCTCCATGCTGCAGGAGCCCAGCGCCGTGAGCTCCAGCCTGGCCTGGACCAGCCACGCCCGGTGCTGTGCTGCCCCTGCCGGGATCCTCACCCGCCACCTCTAGACCACCCTGTGCTCGCGGGTAGTTCCTGTCGGGCCCAGACTGCTGTGTTTCCGGGGCCGGGTACCAACCCCTTGTGTCCTCCGAATCAGGCCGGGCACCCTCCCCCAAGGGCAGGACCACCCCATCCCTTGTGACCCCGTGCTCTGACACCCTCTCGCTGGGGCCTGGTCCACCTTTCTTCCCAGGCCGGGGCACCTGGACCCGCAGCCCTGGGCATCCAGTCTGGGGCCCACCTGTGCGAGGTGAGCACCACGGAGCGGCCCTCCTGCACCACAGCCAGGAGGCTGTTCCAGAGGAAGCGCCGGGCACTGGGGTCCATGCCGGTGGTCGGCTCATCCTGGGAGGGGAGAGATGTTTAAGCCCCGCCCCACCGGCCCCGACCCCGCCTCTGCCTAGGCCCCGCCCACACGCACCAGAAAGACCACAGCCGGGTCCCCCACCAGAGCCAGGGCTGTCGCCAGCTTCCGCTTGTTGCCACTGCTATAGGTGCCCGCGGGCCGGTCCGCATACTGAAGGAGCCCCAGGCGCTCCAGGCCCAAGCTTGCTGTCTGTGGTGGGCCAGAGTGAGAGTTGGGGGCCAGGGTGAGACGGGCCAGAGTGTGCTTGGGGGAAGGCCACGATGAGCCTGGTGGGGGCCACAGCGAGGGCTGGGCAGGAAGGTAGTGAGAGCAAGTGGGCACAGAGTGAGGGCGGAGTGAGCACAGGGGTCCAGAGTGAGCGGAAGGGGCCAGGGAGAGGATGGGGGTGTGGAAGGTAAATAAAGGGGGTGGGGCCAGAGCGCATACGGAGTGAGGACAGAGCGGGAATGCCACGTGGGCGTGGGGCCGGAGTACAGGAGAGGCAGGACTTGGCCCAGGGACAGAAGGCACCACCGCCAGGAAGCGCAAGCTGGACGGGAGTCCCGTGAGAGTGGGCGGGCTGGAGCCTGGAGGGTCAAGGAGGAAAGGGGCGGGTCCCTAAGCAGAGAGGGGGCAGATGCAGCCTGCAAGACTGTGGGAAGGGGAGGTGAACCGAAATGACTGTGTAGGAGCTGGGGAAGGAGCAGGGGGAGAGCTGGGGGAAGGGCAGGGGCAGAGGACCAGGTGTGGGTGGACCTGGGCTCTGGGTGTGGTCAAGGAGAAGGCAGATAAGCTGTGATGCGGGGCGGAGGCAGGGGAGAGATGGTTGGGTGGGGGCTGGAGGGCTTGTTGGGGGGTGGTCACCTGGGCAACCTGGGCCTCGGGGACCCCGCGCAGGCGTGCAAACAGCTCCAGGTGCTCACGGCCTGTCAGCAGCTCGAAGATGGCATCAGACTGAGGGCAGTAGCCCATGTGGCGGTTAGCTGCAGCTGGTTCCTGGGTCACGCTGGGGACGGGGGGGGGGGGGCACAGGTAGCTCAGGTAACTGGCTAGGCCTCGGCCATGCAGGGGCAAACAAGGGTCTCAGGGCCCAGCCACCCTGGTAAAGGACGGGGTGTCTCAGGGCCGAGTCCATGGGCAAGGGTGTGGGGGTCAGGCACTCAGGCCAGCCCGAGAGGACCATGCTGGGGAGGTAGTGGCCATGCGCGGGAAAGGGTGGTGGGGAGGAACAAGGGCTCTGGGCTGGGGCTGCTCACCTGTGGCCCGCCAGCGTGGCCTCACCCCCGCTGGGCAGCGTGTCCCCCGTCACCATGCGGAAGGTGGACGTCTTCCCCGCTCCATTCACACCCAGCAGTCCAAAACACTGCAGGCACACCCACAGGTGGCGCTCAGTGAGGCCTCAGACCCTTGCCCCAGCGCCTCTGATTTCTGGGGTAGCTTTCTCAGTTCCACAGGGACCCCTGGGGCAGATACTGGGTGTGAAGGCAGACGTAAAGCTGCCACTCGGCAGGAATGTGGCTGGCACACGGCACGTGCTGAATCCATCCGGGCACACAGGAGCTTTCTGAATGTCTCCGGCCACGCGTGGGGTGCCTGATAGCAATGGTGCCCAGAGAGAATTCAGGCTGGGTGCAAGTCAGCCTGAGGTGGAGAGGTTGGCTACACACAGTAGGCACTCGACACAGTGACTACAACTGACACTAACACGCCACATGTGTCCATGGGTGTGTGCCAGCCCCCAGAAGGTGGCCAGTAAATGGCCCACAGCAGGTAAGTCTGCACAAAGTAATTGCTTGAATGTGAATCAATACAAAGCAGGTGCCGACTAGATACTGGCTGTCAGCAGTGCTCAGACATACACAGTAGGAGTTCAGTAAATACTGTTGGTGCTTGATAAAAAGTTGACCATCACAAAGGTGACATTCAGTACACTTTGGGTGCACACAAGGGGGCTCAACAATGCTTTAACATATACACTTCATAGTCAGTAAACGCTGATACACAGTAGGTGCTTGATTAATATAAACGGCATGTATGTGGGAGCCCAACAAGTGCTCAACCATTAATTTGTCCTCAGTAGGCTTGTTCTAATACCTGATAGCACACAGTAGGGGTCAATAAATGTAAGCATGCAGTAGGTGCTTAATGAGAATTTGTTGGCTCAAAATTGAAGCTCAAGTGTCGACAGCCAGTAAGTGCTCAATAAAGAGCAGCAGGTGCACAGTAGGTGTTCAGTAGAGGGAGATAAGCACAAACACGGTAAGGGGCGGGGGGTGCACAGTAGGGCAGCCTCTCAGCCCTGGACCAGAACCTCCACCCTGGACCTACCTCGCCAGGGGGGATCCCCAGGCACAGGCGGTTGACAGCCAGTGTCCTCTGCCCACGGTACACCTGGGAAGGGCACAGGTCCATGAGAATGGGGAGTGGGCCAGAGGGAGCCCCCCAAGCCCGCACTCTGCACCCACCTTGGTCAGGTCCCTCAGCACCAACACATCCCCCTGGGTATCCCCCAGCATGACCCGTTCCCGCTCACGGGCCACATCTTCATCCTCCTCTCCCAGGGGAGGCAGAGGCTTCAGCCTGGGTCTGAGAACAGAGAGACATGAGTGAGCCCAGAGCCAGACCCCAGCCCGCACCACCCTCCCTGGTCCAGACTGACTGTGGCAGGAGGCGGTTGCGATGCTGCAGCAGGAGCGTGAAGAGGAGGAAGATGGGCCCCTGTACCACCATGGCCAAGAGGTTCTTGCCAACCACCTCCCAGCGCAGGGGTGACTGGAACTGCCCATCTCCTGTGGGGATAGGAAGGAGGGATTGGGTCATTTTGGGGGTCTTGGGATCTGGGTCCCTCTCTGTTTGGGTTATTTTGGGTTCTTTTTGTTTGTTTTTAATGCTTTTGTGTGTGGAGGAGATAATTAGGTTTATTTATTTGGTGGAGGTACTAGGAATTGAACCCTGGACCTCATGCATGCTAGGCAAGCACTGTACCACTGAGCTGTACCCTCCCCTCAACGTTGGGTTCTTAAGGGAAAGGACCAATAACTGAATAGGCCACTCAACTGGGGTCTAATTGGCATAGAAAATAGTGGCATTATCATCTCCCTTATTTAGGGCCTCAGACCTCTCGTGATGTGACCAAGATGGAATTGACTTTTACGGCTGCTTTGCTGCACCTCTAACTTGGTCCACCAGTTCTTGGGGCCACCTAAGACCTTCAGTTCTCTTCCTGGGGGCTGTCATTTGTCCTTGCCTGTAGAATTGATGGCTAGAGGGAAGTTCTCACCCAAGCGCTCAAAGGCGTCAGCCATGGCCTGGTTCCGCACCATGTCAATGAGCCCCCGGCCCAGGCAGAAGTGGGGAAAGATAAGGAAGACCCGTTTCAGGATCTGGCTCACCTCCTGCAATTTCTGCTCAAGGGCAGAAAGAAGGAGATAAGTCAGGGGCTGAGGCTGATGCCCCCATCCAACTCCAGCCCAAGGCCCAGGCTTGTGGTGCCCTTACCTGATCAGAGAAGAGCTCAAGCACAAAAGTGGCCATGCTGCCATTGGTGCCAATAAAGAGGTTGATGCAGGTGAGCACCACGTAGGCCGTGCTGGGCACGGAGAAGAAGAAGGAGGCTGGGTACATGAGCGGTGTGATCGACCAGCTGAAGGGTAACAGGAGTTGCTCTTACTGCCCAGACAGGGTGCTGAGCAGCCCTGAGAGGAATACAGATCTCCCCTCCCAAATTCTGTGTTGTAGACTCCTGTGATGCGGGCCAGAACAAGATGAGCTTTTAAGGCCACCTCAGCACACCGCTGAACTAGATCACACTTGGGGTCAACTCAGACCTCCAAATCCTCCCCTTAGGAGTTGCTACAGAGTCCCATCTCCCTCAACAGTATTAGGTGGTAGGGGGTATCAATAAGAACAAGCCCTGAGGGGCTGGGGGCCTCACCCATACAGTAGTAGCAAGAGCAGGAGGGCAGGCAGGTTGGCAGGGGCCACATACGCCCTCTGCTGGAAGGCCAGAAAAATGAGGACCACAATGCACGCTGGCACCAAGTAGTTACACTGCATTGGAGATGGCAGTTACACCCCTCAGTGTGCAGGGGCAGAAACTGGCATCCTCAGCACTGTACTCCCCCCACCCCCTGACCTCCCTGTGCTTTGGGTAGCAGGACATGAGGTCTCCCACAATCCCCAAGATTTCACTTGGGCCATCCTAGACATGATCTGCCCAGCAGGGGCAATGGCAAGTGGTGACTGGGGCCCCACCCCTCCAGGCAGACACCGCACCATGTCCCAGACAAAGTTGCTGAGCCAGTAGAGGGTTGGGGGCAGGCCACCCATGCACTGCAGGTGTTTGGCTCGGGTGACACGCTCGTCGATGAGGACAAGGGTGAAGCTGGCTGGGACGAAGGACATAGCAAAGACCACGCAGATGGAGACAAGCACGTCCACTGAGGAGGCCATCCTGGGGGCGAGGGTAAATGAGCAGCTCAGAGCGGAACTGGGCATGCCACAAATGGGACAGAGGTCCCCACGGCTGGGCATGGGTGGGGGATGGGGCCTGAGCCATTTCAGGTCGTTGGCCAGGGAGAGGTTGTGCAGGTCTCTCGTCGGATAGAGGTTGATGTGACAAGGATGTGCAGGCTGTTGGAGGAGACTGGAGCCTCATGCTGTCCCATTACCCTGGCCTAGGGAGTGCAGAGGGGCCGTTCCTGACCCCCATTTACAGAGCAGGAGTGTGGCAGAGCATAAATCCAACTCCTACTGCCCAAAACACCAGAAAAACGGAGGCGGGGGGACACACAGGGCAGAGGGACTCACAGCGCAGCCTCGGACAGCTGCTCCTTGGTGAGGTTCAGTGGATGGTTGATGGTGATAATGCTGTGGGCTTGACGGGTGGGGCCTGGTGGCCGACGGGCATGTAGGAGAGCATTGTTGGCTCGGTTGACAAAGGCCACCATCGCGTGCCAGCCCTTGTTGTTGAACCATATCTGGGGTGGGGTCAGAGTGGAGGGGTCAGTGTGGGGGTCAGACCTGTCCCCAACAGCATCTGCCTGCTACCCGCTCCGTTCCCACCTTGAGGCTGTCCTGGGTGTCCAGACTGAGAGCCCATGCTGTGAGGTTGTTCAGGATGCGGTCGAGGGCCCCGCCAGGTTGGGGACTCAGCAGGGCCCGCAGCTCCTCCACAGAGCGACCCACCTCAAGCCCTGAGGGTAGGCCCGGGTCTCGGCCCCCCAGCGAGAAGCCCCCATACCTGTGGAGCAGTGGAGGCAGGAGGGGCGGCTGAGGGCCTGGGCAGATGGGGCAGCAGAGTCTCCCAGCGGGCAGGCAGAGGGCACAGGAGGGAACCCGGGCGGGGACACTCCTCACCTGACCTCATTCACCCACTTCTTAGTTTTCAGGCTGTTGGCAGAGACAGACAGAGAGGTGACTGAGATGAAGAGACAGAGATGTGGGGGAGTCAGTGAGATAGACGAAAAGGGTGAGGAGTGGAGGGTACTCGGGAGGCCCCAGCCCAGAGCCCCAAGCCGGGCATCCACCTCTGACCCCCCCCAGACCAGACCACCTCCTCCACCCGAGGACCCATGCTATAGCCAGGCACGCTGAGTCCAGGGCGGCGGCTCACCCCTGGCGCACTAGGCCCGGGTAGGTCTTGACCAGGAAGTCAGACAGATTCCGGCCGGTTAGGTTCTGGACCACTTCGCCCGAGCTGCTTGGCGCCTGGGGTGGCGGGGGACCACCGGCCCCTGAGGGACAGTCGGGCAGCAGGCGGCGGGCGCCAGGCCGGCTACACTGGCAGGCTGGGGACGGAGACTCTGGCGTCCAGTTGCCCCTGGCCAAGACTTCAGCCACATCCGCAGGAACCTCGGGCACCGAGAACTGGCCGACGGCGGGCGGGGTGCACTTGGGCGCCCTACAGGGGCAGGGGCGGGGAGGGGTGGGGCTGGGCTGGGGTATCCGGCTTCCTGGGCTCCTCGAATGTGGACGCGCCCAGCTCCCAAGCAGGCACGGGGGTGCCCCCGGCACCCGCACCCACGGGGGCCCAGCGGCCAGAGTCCAGATAGTGAAACCGAGGCCAGAGAGGAGCAGGGTTCAGGCTTGGCAGGCCCTCACCTGGCGGAGTTATTTCCCTCCAATCCGGCCTCCTCCAGCAGTGCCTCAAGCAGATGGGCACGTTCAGGGTCACCTGGGGCATCCTCGCTGCATGGAGTGGGGGTGCTGGGTCAGGGCTGCACCCGTAGGCCCCTGGCCCTCCCGCCACCAGCCCTCTCTCCTCTGCGCCCACCTGAAGAAGGACACCTGGGCACCGTACATGCTGGGACTGAGCTGCAGAGGCGGGTAGTATCCAAAAGGAGGCACGACGAGGCTGAACGCCAGCGCAAGGCCCACAAAGAGGGCAGGCAGCACGATCTGAAGGACCAGCCCATCAGCTGTCCTCACCGTCTACCCTCCAAGCTTGCCTGCAGCCAGCCTCCCCAGATCCCGCTCTAGAACCATCCATGGCACCCCAGTGCTCTCAGTAAAAGTGTTCAGAGTGAGGGATATGCCTGGGATCAGGGGGCTGAATTAGGTCACAGAGTGGATTACAGGCCCCCAGGGTCCCCCACGCTGCCTCCCTGGTGCCCGGCCCCACTCACCTGTGCGAACAGGCCCCGGCGGCTGCGGTGGGCCAGCAGGAAGCGTTTGAGAAGCAAGGCCCGGAGCTGTTGGAGGGTCAGTGCCCAGCCCTGGACCCGGCCTGTGGCATCTGGCCCTGAGCTCTGCAGGGCCTGCATCTCTGGGGCAGATCCAGCTGTGGGGGGGGGTGGGAGGTCAATGCCCATGCCCTGATCAGGAGGGGATCAGGAGGGGCCACAGGGCTACAGGGTTGGGTGGGGACAACTCACCCAGCTCCCCATTCTCCAGGGTGGACCCATCGGGCAGAATCTTGAGCCGCGTGGTCACTTCCGGGTAATTCCTCAAGCACTGGAGCTGCCTGTGCTAACCATCTGTGGAGAAGGGGTCAGGGTCAGCGTTCAGCTGGGGTCTGGGTTTAGATCAAGGCTCACAGATGGAGGAGTCAGGAGTGAAGGATGTAGGTTGGGGCTATGCCTTGGGCCACGCTCAGCCAGGGATGGGGACTTGGTCTAAAGTCAGGTCCAACTCTGGACCAGGGTCAGGGGCCTGGGACATGGACCTGTGGCTGCATTCTCTGGGCCTGTGTCTGTAGCACAGTCCTCTACCACCTTCAGGAAGATCTGGGGAGACAAAGCAGGGGGCTCAGAGCCTGGAGACACACAGGAGAGAGGGGGACTCAAGAGCCACCCAGCCCTCATTGGTGGGGGTCCCCAGGCCTCCCCAAGGGACTCTGGGCCTCCAGGCCCCTGCGTGTGCCCTGCCTCCTCCCGTGGATGCCCAGCTGTCAACAAGCGGACTCCTTCTCATCCTGCCAAGCGCCACCCCCTCCAAGCAGCTCACCTCCCACGCTGCCAAACCTCCCCCAGCAGCCTCACCTCCTCGAGGCTGGTGTCGGAGATCCCATAGCTGGCCAGCCCCAGCTTCCCCAGCTGCAGGTCCAGCTCACGGAAGAGCTCGGCGAAGCTGCCGTCCAGGGCACCCTTGTAGGGCAGTGCCAGCACCAGCTGGTGTGGCAGCTCCTCAACCAGCCGTGCCCCGGGCACCAGGCGCTGCACCAGGGCCAGCAGCTGGGGCACACCTGGGTGGGCAGTGGGGCACGTGAGGGGCCCCGGAGGAGTGAAGTAGTCCCTGCTCCTGCCCCTCCCCCATCCTAGCCTCCCTGGGGAAGGGGCTTGGGTGCCCCGTGAGGAACCTGTCCCGAAAGGCAGAGAAGGTCAGGATTAAGCACCTGAGGGCAGGACCTGACCTGGACTCAGAGCCAGAGTCCACCCAGGGGCAGGGGTAGGTTTGTGTGTGGACTCAGCCCATGGTCAGGGGTCAGGGGTCCAGCCTGGGGTCAAAACCCTGTTGCCCTGAACCAAGTCACCGCCACCACCAGCCGCTCCCTCTGGCTCCTCCCTACCCCCTACCCTCACCGGCAGTGCTGTCATGGCTGCCCAGCTCCCCTTCCCTCCTGGTATCCTTCAAGTCAGTGTCACCCTGTGGACAGAGGAGCACCAACTGCCATGGCCATCAGGTCTGGACAGAGCCTTGAGGGTCAGTGGTCAGAGGTCAGCCCTCACCTTTTTGCTGGCGGCCAGAGGTGGGGGACCCTTCACCAGCGTCAGGTAGTATCCGGAGCCCAAGTGACGCCGCAAGAAGAGTGGGGAGCCACAGCAGCACAGGCGGCCGGCTGCCACTATTGCCACACGGTCTCCCAACAGCTCAGCCTCATCCAGGTGGTGGGTGGAAAGGATCAGTGTGCGACCTGGGCATGGGACCCAATCCGCACATACCACCCCGGCTGCAAGGCCTCTGCCAGGAATTGCCTGCCCCATGTGGTAAACTCCTCCTCACCCCTCAAAACCCCATCTCCAGCACCTTCTCATCAGAAACATCTTCTGGCTCCTCAAGCAGAATCCAGGGGAACCTCAGGCCACCCCCAACTCTTACCTTCACGGTATTTGAGCAGCAGCTCCCAAATGCTGCGACGGGAAGCAGGGTCCACACCAGCCGTGGGCTCGTCCAGGATAACGACTTGGGAGCCACCCACAAAGGCAATGGCCACTGAAAGCTTCCGCTGTGTCCCGCCTGGGTTGGGACAGGGGTGGGGTCTTGCATGACCCTGCCCCCCAGCCTCGGGCAGGGCTGCCTCCCTCCTCCCTGCCCCTTTCCCTACCCACCTGGGCCCCCAGATACCCGTCTCCTGGCTTCCCACCGCCCTGGGGATAAAGTCCCAGCCCCTCCCCCCAGCCTCACCTCCACAGACCCAGAGGCTCCCCACCAGGCTGGGCTCACCAGAGAGGTGGCGCGTCTGTGTGTGCCGCTTGGGGATGAGCCCCACGTCCTGAAGCAGACGGTCCTGCTCAGGGCCCACGGCAGCTGCGCTCAGACCCTTCAACCGCCCGTAGAACCAGACATGCTCATCCACAGTCAGCCTGAGGCCACAGGCGGAAAACAGGGTGGCCACCATGGCTGGCAGGGCCCCAGAGAACACCCAGCCCCTCCCATTGCCGCCCCCGGGGCCCACTGTGACGCACATGTCAAACAGCACGTTGTACTGTGGGCAAATGCCCAGGTGGGGCCGGATAGCTGCCATGCCGGACCGGACGTCATGGCCCAGGACACAGGCAGAGCCAGAAGTGGGTGGGAAAAGGCCGCTCAGGATGGACCTGGGGGTGCACAGGTCTCAGAACAGCTGCTCCTTCAGAGGGGAAAACCGAGGCTCCCAGAGAGGAGAGACCAGCACTTATAGGGTGCCAACTGTATGCCCATACCAAAGGGGTGTTACATCCCCATTTTACAGGAGACGGAAAATGAGGCTCAAAGAAAGCACTTGTCGCCTGCCAATTGTGTGTCCAAAGTGAACTGGGGTCCCACCCTCACTGTACAGAAAGGAAACTTCCGACCCCAGATGACCCCTGGGAAGGGAGGGGAGTGCAGGCTGCTCACAGAGTAGTGGTCTTGCCCGCTCCGTTGTGGCCCAGGAAGGCGGTGATGTGGCCCTGGTAGAAGTCCAGGCTGAGCCCCCGCAGGGCTGGCTGCGGGTTGCCAGGAAAGCGCTTTTCTAGGCCCCGTATGGAGACCCCGGGAACCAGGCCATGTGGTGCCTCCTCCACCAGCACTGCAGAGGGAAGGTACAGTCAGCCATGGGAGCTCTTGGGGGTCTGGGAACCCTTAAAACTGGTCTGCGGAGTCGGGGACTTCTCGGGCTGGGGTCTGTAGGAGTTCGGGTAGCCCCAGGGGACCTGGGGAACTAGGGGGTGTCCAGAGGATCGGGATCTGTGGGAACCACGGTTTTGGGGGGGCCAGGGAAGTGGCTGCTAATGTTTGTCAGGCCTCACCCTGTGGGTCTTGCGGGGCAGGGGGCGGGGCGGGACCCTTGGGGGGCTGAGGGCCAATCCAGTAGCTCCTCTGAAAGGGAAAGTTCCATGGTTCGGGAATCCCGTACTGGCCTGTGGGAAATGGTGCTCAGTTACCCCTCGAGCCCACCCTCCTGCAGTGTGCCAGCTTCTGGCCACACACCTGGGATTAGGCCATCCAGGTAGGAGGTAACCAGGAAGTCCCATCCGCCTGCCCCAGGCTGTCCCTCCACGCAGCCACCAGTGTGCATGTGCAGAGGGGCAAGGAAGCCCCACCCACTCAGCTAGACCCGCCTCCAGGTACCAAAGGCCTTTCAGCCCCGCCCCACCCAGGGTCCCGCCCCTCAGCCAGCCTCCCTTGTGCTGGTGTCCCTCCTACAGCCCACCTGGGCACACGGCCTCCAGGTACCAGGTGGCGAGGCCGTAGAGAGTGGCATCGAGCAGCAGAAGGCCCGAAACCTGGGCCAGGCTGAAGACGTCGTCCGTAGGCGCAGTGCCCATGTTGTGCCACTGCGCGCCCTCACCCTGCTCCTCCAGCAGCGCGAGGCTCTCGCAGCCGAAGCCAAAGGCCACAGGT